CCTGCACCAGTCACTAGGAGGCAGCAGTGGAAACCAACCTTGACCTCAGAGTGTGCACACCCATGACCATCACCAGTGGCCACTCCAGGTCTAGGAGCAGCACACCTGCTGACCACTTGAGCAACCTTTGTATGTGAGTGGGACACAGTAAGAGCACACATGTCCCGAGGGTCTCTGCCTATTGCAGTAGGAAGCTTGGTGAAGGAAGGCTCCACACGCCATCTCTGGTATAAACGGAGGCATCTTAGATCAGCTGGGAAAGCTCGGAGAAGACTGGACTCGCTTTTCTCTGGCTTGGTGTGTTTGTATCACCCTGTTCTGGTGGAGACAGGACTCTCTGATGGTGGAACTCCCCAGGCTTAGGTCTGCTGGGGTCAGGATCACCTATTGATATCTCCGCTGCCTGACCTGGCTTTGAAGAAGCTCCTGAAAAGCTGTTTTCTTTTAACTGTTCCTTTTCACTGTTGCTTTTCAAAATTCTTCTGTGCAAAACATTCAGTAAAGTTCTCTTCTGATCACTGCTTAATCCTATTTTGAGAGAGCAAAAGTAGGAAGTTATTTCCTTCCTGTTCAAAAGACCATTATCAGAAATAATCATTTAAAGCATAATTTATTCTGCTTTGTCATAACCACTGCATTTTGATAATTTCTTCAACTAACTTATCCTGATACACAAACAAACTTGTGAGCCCACTGAAACTATTTTACTTTGCAGTTGAGAGGGGGGAAAACCCCAACAACCTGGTAGGAATAAATTGCTTATAAAACTCATTAACCAAAAATTCATAAAATGTTTTTATTAAAAGCCTTTGTTACTGAGGCTTTGCAGAGCACCAGGGTGAAGTCTGTAGGGTTAAGGCCCCAGCTTTTTCAGGGAAGAGCAAAAACATACAACCAAATTTGCATCAAATAGTTTTTCTCTGGTTTAGTGAAAAGTGATTAATTCTTGATTAGAGGATTAAATTAAAATAATATTTAATTAAAATAGTAATATTATAGTTTTCAGTTCAGAGAAGTTTTCCTATGAGGTTAATATTGACCAAATAAAAAAGTACTATGATCTAAAATACTATAATACCACTTCATGCCCACTAAGATGCCATGACAATTAAGAGAAAAGACAAATTAAATATTGGCGAGAGAATTGGAATACTTTTCCTCACTAGAACATCAAATAGTTCAGTCCTTGTGAAAAACATCTGGTGCCTTCTAAGGTAAATGCAGAATTGCCGTGTGGCCCATGAATTCTATCCTGGGCATACACCCAAAAGACATGAAAACAGGTGTTCAAACAAAAATTTGCCTGTAGGCTGAGACAAGAGAATCACCTAAGCCCAGGAGCTGGAGGTTGCTGTGAGCTGTGTGATGCCACAGCACTCTACCAAGGGTGATAAAGTGAGACTCTGTCTCTACAAAAAAGAAAATTTGCATGTGAAATATGCATAACAGCATTATTTGTAGTGGCCAAATAAGAAAGGAAATAAGGTAACAAGAAAGGAAACCCCAGTGTCCGTCGGTGGGAGAATGGTGGGCAGTGGGACACCGTTCAACCATGGGAGGCTGTGCCTCCGGGGAACCTTGGAACAGCATGGCTAGCGGAGGAAGTCGGCCTTAGATGGGCACAGATCACAGGGTTCCATTTATATGACATGCTCAGAATGGGCAAATGTATAGAGACAGACGCAGATTAAAAGTTCTGGGGCTTGGCGCGAGAGGGAAAGGGGAAGTGACTGCTTAATGTGCAAAGGCTCTCCTTTTGCGGTGAGGAAATTGTTCTGGACTAGGTAGAGGTGAAGGTTGTACTGTATTCTGAACATACTGAGCTGGATGCTTAAAAAGGGTTAAAACAGAAATGTTATATACAGTAGTGCCATAATAAATTATATTGCTTATGTTTGGAGGATTTAATATCCAAACAATTGGCAAGAAAGTGTCCAGACAAGAGTTTCAACAAGGTACTGAACAATTAGGGATCTGCTTAATTTTTAACTTAACTACAAAAATCACATAGAGTAAAAATGTAGTTAGGTTAGAAATGTATCACCTGTAAATTAAGTTTCAAGGGGAGAACGGTGGAGCTTTCCATTCCATTCTTTCAAAAGTGATCAAAAAATTAGAAAGCTGGAAATAATATGATTTTGAGGGTCTGTATAATATGGTGATTTTTATGAAGAGGGACATTTAACCTCGACTACGGTGCGCACACAGTAAGCTCACGGTAGTTTACAGTGATGGCGGGAATAGACGGGATGTTACCGTGTTTGAGAGAAAAGGCCCAGTGCTTTGTGCCTCTCAGTGGGATAGATCTGGTGCTGCACTTTGGACTTTTCAGAAGGAAAGATCGTGATGTAACACAGAACATTTTTTATTTATTAATTTATTTTCTTAGAGACAGAGTCTCACTTTATCATCCTCAGTAGAGTGCTGTAGCATCACAGCTCACAGCAACCTCCAGCTCCTGGGCTTAGGTGATTCTCTTGCCTCAGCCTCCCAAGTACTGGAACTGTAGGCGCTCGCCACAATGCCCAGCTATTTTTTTGTTGCGGTTTGGCTGGGGCCGGGTTTGAACCTGCTACCCTTGATATATGGGGCCGGCGCCCTACCCACTGAGCCACAGGTGCTGCCCAACACAGAGTATCTTGAATAAGGAATAAGAAATGGGTCAACAAGCTGTAGCAGGAGGCTCCCTGGCCAGTGTTTCAGTTTAGCAAGGCGATTGCTCACTTCCCTGTGGCTTCCGCACATGGGCCCATTCCCTCCGGCCGTCTGTCTCCGTGGTTTCCTGTGACTGGCTGGTCTGCCATATGCTGGACATGAGCTTGGGATTAATGTTCTACTAAACTCAAGAGCTGCACATTTGAGAACTGTCCGATCAGTGGCAAATGTGAAGTCTTTAAAAGAAGTCCGGGCCAGACCAAGCCCCAGGTTGTTTGGAAAATTCATGCTTTTCCGGTGTGATCCATGATGGCTCAAATATTAGACATCATTTGAACTCTGCCCCGAGACTTGCAATCTGGAGCCTATATCTCTTTTCCATTTGGATGATCAAAACCACAAGTTATACTAAAAAAAAAAAAAAAAGACAGACGTCCAGCAAAGTGAGCCTTTCTTCTCAGCTAAAACACAGACAACACAAGAACTACATGTGGCCGGGCCAAAATGCACACCGGGGCCAAGGGCACTGGACAGGACGAAGTGTGTGACCTCAGGCGCCAGACCCCTGACTCCGCATGCTGCCCGGAGGTTCTGCGAAAGCCCGAGAGAGGTGGGGCGGCGACTTTGAAGGACTCTTGGTGGCAGAGCATGTGCTGGGCACACTGTACCCGTCAGGGCCACCGCAAAGAGCCAGTGTCCTTGAGCTGGTGCCCAGAATGGCATTTTGTCACAGCCAGTGGTTTTTAACCACTAGGCAGTCAAAAAGTCACCATCGGAAAACAGGACGGAAAATCCTGGAAGATGTGCCTCTTGGAGTCAGAAAGGCCTTAGCGCTCTCTCAAGCCCCTGGTACTTATTGTTTAAATCTAGAAACACTGGAGAACATTAGGAGAGAGATTCTTTTCCAGTTTTAAATTCAAATGAACTTATGACTCAACACCTGAGAAGTTAGGCCTGTGCTGTCCATGGTGTCCTGGGGCCTGCAGCCTCCAGCACACGGAGTGACCTTCTTCTCAAGTGGGGTGCCTGTTCCTCAGAACACGTTCTGTCTTCCCACGTCAGACAGTCGGGCCCTGTGGACTCAGGACTCACGCCTCTGCCTCAGGCTGCCTCTGAAACCAGCGTCAGCGACCACTGGGCCTCGAGTTCCTCAGGTGCCTCCTCAGTCCTGCCTCACAGGTGCTGAGAGGAGGAGAGACGCTCCCTCCATGGCACGCACGGGTCTCGTGGTATTGGTTTGAGTGTTTCTGTCTCCTGGGCAGTTTTTCCCAGAGAACAGATGTGCTTGTCTGTGATTACACCTTCCCACCTTCACCACCATACCCTGCTCCGGGGTACACCTCCAAGTGGCGTTTAGACTCTCCCGCCTTCACCCTGTACCCCAACCTGGGGACACCTCCGAGTGGCATTTACACCCTCCCGCCTTCACCCTGTACCCCAACCTGGGGACACCTCCTGATTAGAGTTTACACCCTCCCTCCTTCACCCTGTACCCCAACCTGGGGACACCTCCTGATTAGAGTTTACACCCTCCCACCTTCACCCTGTACCCCAACCTGGGGACACCTCCTGATTAGAGTTTACACCCTCCCACCTTCACCCTGTACCCCAACCCAGGGACACCTCCTGACTAGCAGCAACAGTGTGGTGCTTCATGAAGATTTTTAATGCTGCAGTGATGATAACATGATCCATCAGTATTTGGGGGCAGAGGAGTGTTTGAGCATGTCTGACCCTTTTGTCTCCCTGATTGCCTGACATTCCATGTGAAATTGGCTGAGGTAGGAGCTGCTACCCACTCTGAGGTCCTGGGACACTCAGACACAGAGGAAAGTGATGAGCAAGTACCCAGCAGAGGTGGCCTTGGTGAGGATGGAGGTGGCCTTGGCGAGGACGGTGGCCCTGGGCTGGGCAAGGCTGGGCGTGGAAGGCCCTCACTAGGGTCTCCTGGTGACCTCCTGGTTCCTTTCATTAGGTCTGATTTTAACAGTGGCTTCTAGACCCAGCCCTGCTCTGTCTGGATTTGGTCCTGGGGTGCTGATGAGTGTCAGTGGACTAGGGAGGGCCTGCCGACACTGGCCACATAGCCGACACTTTTTCATCTCCAGGAAGCAGGGTCCACCTGTCCCCATGGTCAGGGGAGCCTTGGTGCCTGTACTCACTCAGTGTGGGGAGTGGCCCTACTGTGATACCTTTCCCCCAGGACAGACACAGCTCTGCCCTCCTCCTGGAGCTCTGATGAGCAATCTGCCAGGAGCCGCCCCGGGGTCTGGACTCCAATCTGGTGTCTTCCATACCCCACCCCAGCAGTTGCATAACAGCTGCCCCCTCCTTCTTTCCCACAGACATGTCTAGGTGTGTGGCCGAGAGGAAGTACACCCAGGAGCAAGCTCGGAAGGAGTTCCAGCAAGTATTCATTCCGGAGTGCAACGAGGATGGCACCTACAGCCAGGTTACCCTGGGGGCTCTGCACCTGGGTTGCAGGGCACTGGGGGCGGGGGGCAAGAGGCTGGGGGGAGGAGGGACAGCACCTACAGCCAGGTTACCCTGGGGGCTCTGCACCTGGGCTGCAGGGCACTGGGGGCAGGGGGAGGCAAGAGGCTGGGGTGAGGAGAGACAGCACCTACAGCCAGGTTACCCCGGGGGCTCTGCACCTGGGCTGCAGGGCAGTGGGGGGGGGGGGAGGGAGCAGCATTATTTTAGGGTTAATTTATAATGAGCCTAAGCAGCTAAACAGACCTGAATTCGTGTACTTGACTCTGGAGTTCCCTCAGTGCTGTCGCCGTCCACACCCTTGTTACTGTGTGAGTCCACCGTGGGGCAGCTTCCACAGAGAGGCTAATTAGACCTTGCTAACCCGGCTCACTGCTTGGAATTTAATTTTGGTATAATTTTAATTACGTGAGAGCACACACTGGAAATCGTGTAACATCTGTGCCAGGAGCGATTCTGACCTGATGGGTTCACAGTCGGGCCTGAGCCACGCCAGGTTCATGCCCAAATTGGTGGTTGATGGTGCCGTCCAGAGGGCTTTTTTTTTTTTTTTTTAATTTCAGATTAAAACTTAGGGTACAAATGATCAGGTTATTTTGTTTGCATTTGCTAGTAAAGTCCAAGTAGCTCTCTATGTATCCAGAAGAAAAAAATCATTTTCCTGGTTCTTTATTTTAAGTGTTTCATTGCTATTATTCCTTGTTAAGAAAAAGTCTCTAAAATATAATGCTAACTAACATGATGGCAGAATAGCAAAAGAGAGTCTGCTATTTACCATGTCAATGGCCCATCAGATAATAATGTAAGTTCTGTGTTTTTACAATAATCGTTGACCTTTGAGAGACAAGGAAAGAAAGAAGCAGAGAAAAATGCAGAGGTTAACACTAAAGGAGGTGCCCAGCTCTGGCCTCTGGTGGTCCGGGGTGGGTTGCACCCTGCCTGTGGCCAGACACCAGCCCCCTGCCCCAGCCCTGCCAGGGTCCTACGGGCCCCTGAGCAAGTCTCCTGACCTCTCCAGGCCTGCCTGGGTGTCTCCATTTGTAGGCACAATCCAGGTGCCCGGCACACACAGTGTGGGTGCTGTGGTCGCTCCTCCCTCCAATCCTGGTCTGAAGCAGCACACTGCCACAAGAAGGAGGCAGAGGCTTAGGGAACACGGGGTGCACTGAGATCTCTGTGAGACGGTGCGTGGGGAGACGGTGCGTGGGGAGACGACGGTGCGTGGGGAGACGGTGCGTGGGGAGACGACGGTGCGTGGGGAGACGACGGTGTGTGGGGAGACGGTGCGTGGGGAGACGACGGTCCGTGGGGAGACGGTGCGTGGGGAGACGACGGTGCGTGGGGAGACGGTGCATGGGGAGACGAAGTGGCCTCGCACTGCCAGGCACTAGGTGCCAACCCCAGAAGACCTCACCTGTCTGCCCCTCTCTGCAGGTCCAGTGTCACAGCTACACAGGATACTGCTGGTGTGTCACACCCAACGGAAGGCCTATCAGCGGCACAGCTGTGGCCCACAAGACGCCCAGGTGTCCGGGTAGGTCCCATTGACTCTGGACAGGAACGTTCTGTGGGGAACAGTCTGCTGAGTCTTCCGAGCATCTCACTTGTGTCGTAGTCCAGAAAGCGATTCCATTTAGGTGGATGGTCAGCAATTGTGGCGGGGTGGGTGGGTCATTGGACGGAGCCTCCAAGGTCGTAGAACCTTGTTTCTCAGGGGAGAAAGGCAGAGGCCCGTGTGTGCACAAGGGCAAGCACAGCTCCCAAAGCCACCCGGGGCTGGATCTCGAGAGGTTGGTGGTTAGAATCTCAATTGTAAGAATCACCACAAGGACTACAGTCACTAGGCAAGTGACCAAAAGTTTTCTTTGGCCATAAAAGTGAAAATTTCAGGTTTTGTATGTATGTTTTTCAAAGAAAAAGTGGATCATTCTTCATGGGTCAATATGCAAATGGTTTGAGTAATTTCACAACTCAGAAGAAGGTTTAATGTGCTGAAAGTAACAAAATTATCAGGGTCAGGGTCCATGAAATGTCACCTTTTCCATTAGTATTTTATTAAAAATGCTGCAGATTATTCAGATCATTTCCATTTAATCTGCAGCCCCAGTGTGATTAACTTTGCGGGAGAGTTAACAGACCATCTGTGCAGACACTTCATGACATATCCATCCAGATTCCCCAGTTACATGATTAAGAGGCAAAACCTGCTTATATAACAAAAATAAAGCACAAAACATCGTTCCCTGGTAAAATATTGAAACAGGTCAGACTCTCGACTGCCTGCAGCTTCTGTGAGAATGAGAACATTTACAATTCACAGTCAAAGTCACACATTTCTGTTCGCTGGTCTTTACTGAAAGACCTCAGGGTGTGCAGAACGTGGAATAATATATGGTTATTCTAAAAACTGTTCGGTCATTCAGGGCCTAAAAAGTACTCAAAATCTATTTTTAGAAAGCTGATATTTGCATCTAGTATTTCTTTTAGAAATTCATGGGAGAAATGAAAAAGAAAAAAAGTGACAGTGTGACATTGGGCTCTGTGTGTCCCTCGCTCTGACAGCCACACTCAGGTGCTGTCTCATCCCGGGCACATGGCAGCGTGCAGGGCCTTATTTTATGGAGGAAAGAGAAAAGTGGATATCTCTGTGATTTAGTGACACCATCTGAAAAATCAAGTAGGGGCTGAAGGACTTTCTTAGAAAACTATGTGCAAACAATTTTGTGCAATCTCCACAGAATACTTTATTTTGGGAGTCGAATCTGTGTATTATTCCCTCATATCATCTTTTTTCAGCAGTGTATCAGGAACATTTTCTATATAGGAATGTTCTACTTTTTTTTTTAACTACTCACGCTGATTTTTTGGTGAAAGAAGTCAATTAGGGAAGAAAGAATATTTTGTCCTTTCATGTTAAAGTCTGATATTTGTTAGGTAGAAAATGTTACTGAGCAGGAAGCTGCATGTTTCAGATCAGAGGCTGTGGACCAGAGGGGTGTCCCCCAGCTGGACCAGAGGGCCATCCCCCCAGCAACCTGTGGTGCCCCTTCGAGATGTGGTTCTGAGGCTGTGCCCTCAGCACCAGCCTGGCAGGTGGCATCTCACACCTGGTCGGCATGACCAGTGTGTTCCAAATCTCCCACAGTGTGATGGAAAAGCTCTCTTCATCCCCCAGCTGCACGCCACGCTTTTATTCTGTGTATGTGGGTGTGGAAGCACAGGTGTTGTGTTGGGAACACTTGCAGAAACTTTGTGGATCTGTGGTGAAGCCCTGAGGAATTCTGAAATTTAAGGGAGAGGAGTAAGTGCACCCCCATCCCAGGAGGAACTTATGAGCTTTTCATGGTGTAATTTAGCTTCTTCGCAGATATTGACAAGACCCACACAAATCACAAATAATGCAGAGAAGCAGAAGCTGGTGCATCACTTTGCCTGAGATTAGGGTTAATCACGTGGGCTGCAGGGAGCTCAACCTCTGGGCACGTCTGCAGCTCGTACATCCCCACCCTCTGACAGGGTGACGTTTGCCAAGTTCAGTAAATTTGAGTCAACTTCAGGATTTAATAATTATCTTTTGCCAAATTCACACCACGCTTACCGTAAGTGCACTCTGTAAAGTTATAAAAATCTGAAAATGAGATTAAATGAGCTCTAGTAACTTAGATGTTTAGAATGTGCAACTCTGTGTGTGTTTATTAGGACACAAGCAAACAGGATTTATGCCCTATGAGACTCCAGTGGAGTTGGTCAGGGGGCTGGCTCAAATCCTGCCACCTCTCAGCTGTCCAAGAAAGACCTTTGAGGGGATGGGTATCTTTATTTCACAATTATGTACTTTTAATCTATCAATGTAACATAGGTAAATGCCTATCAGAGATGATGAGACAATCTCGCAGAAAGATGGTCAAAGTCTTCAACAGGCAGCTTTTATAAAGGAGGAAAGAGAAAGGGCCAGTAAGGACAGGAGAAAGTGCTCAGCATCCTCAGGACCAGGGAAATGCCAGTTAAGGCACAGGGAGATTCTCTAACACCTGCCCAACCAGTGGAGATGAAGCTGCCTGGCTCTGTGCCTCTGCGAGGGGACAGAGGACAGGCTGTCTCTGCTATCCAGCAGGCACTGGCAATGCCCCTTGCAAAATCAGCTCTGCCACTTGCAGGTAGGTAACTAGGGCCCAGCTATTCCCATTCAGGAGAAGGGCATTGACTAGTGTAGCAAGAGAGACTGGGGAGTGTCCCCAGCAGCAAGAGCTGTGTCAGCCAGACCCTGGAAAAGAGCCTGGGTCTAAGAGCTTCTGGCTGGAAAGCAGCTGCAGGTGCTGCGTTTATGCTACAGGGCAATGATCAACCCTGCAGAGGGCATACGCCCCAGCGGAGCGGCCCTCAGGAGTGAAAGGGGTCAGCCCAAGGGGGTATGCCCCAGCGGAGCGGCCCTCAGGAGTGAAAGGGGTCAGCCCAAGGGGATACGCCCCAGCGGAGCGGCCCTCAGGAGTGAAAGGGGTCAGCCCAAG